GGGCATGCACGCACACGCACCTGGCATGAGTTTAAGCCACGGGGTCTGGGACTCAAGCCACGGTTGGCTACATGGGAGTCCAGCGATGTAGCCATTACGCCAACTGCTGATCCCAACACCTTGTTCTTATCTAAGGAGAGAGAAGCATTCCTGGCCTGTCCCACACTGAGAAAGGCTCTTCTGCTCTGGCCTTGGCTGAGTGGGGCCTCAGCAGCAATTCTGCAGCGCGGGAGCCCGAGGTGGAGCATGTGCTGGTCTCAGCGTTTAGTGGGGGGTCACGTGGGATTGACAGCAGGCCTGGCCTGCCCCATTCAGCATAGCTGCTGGGCGCAGGCCCTAGCCCTGGCCCCGCCCCACCCCAGCTGGCTGCGCAGAGGAGCCTGTCAGGGTGGCCGCAGGTGCCAGAGCTAAGGCTCCAACACAGAGAATGTGCTCCTGGCAGCCCTGCAGACTGAAGCAGGAAGAGGTGGCCAAGATGGCTTGGGAGGAGCTGTTGTCAGAAGCAACAGCTTTGTTTTTTATTTTACTTTATTAATTTATTTTAATTGTCAGAGGGCACATGCGCTTGCCAAAGACAGGCAGAAAGAGGGAAAGAAAGCAAGCACTCTGCAGTGGGTGTGGTCACACTGCAATCCTTTCTCATTCATTTCTCCATCCTGCCAAAATTTTGAGCGTGCAGGTCAGCAAGTGGCATGATGTTTAAGACACTGGACTCCCACAGGGCTGACCACGGTTTGAGTCCTGTACCCAGCACCCTGAAACTCACACCCAGTGTGTGTGTGTGCACTCCCAAAATCTCAAGAGGACGATGGATGAGAAGGGATTGTGGCATGGCCATCCCGCCCAGGGGGTGATTTCTCACTTTCCCTCTCTACATCTCTCTCTGGTGATTGATGCACCCTAAGGAAAAAACCTTAAAAAAAATTTTTTTTTGAGTACACAGGGACACATGTTTGATATCTTTTTCAAGCCCCAAGGGCGAAGTTTAAACTGATAGTCCTTTTATTCTGCTACTCTTTTCTTGTTTTATTCTTTTTTTCTCTTATTTTAGCTATAGGACATGTTTATGCCAGAGAGAGAGGGAGAGGGAGAGACTGCCCCAGGGCAGATGGCCAGGCTGTGATCCTGTCTCCTCCCTTTCCCTCTCAGGATTTTGGACACGCACACACAAGTGCCCAGCGTGATTTTCAAGCCACGCATCTGGAACTTAGACCGTGCAGCCAGCCATGTGGGATTCAGCCTCCTTAACTTCTGTGCCCCCCGCCCCTTTTACTCCATTTTTTAAAGTTTGTTTCTTTAGAGGGAGTAGAGGAAAACAGGCAGACACAGGCGGGCATCCCAGCAGGATCTTCCTGCCGTGACCCGCCCCTCGCCCAGCCAGCTTGGCTCGTGGGCACATACCGGCCTGGTGCGCTCAGGGAGGGCCTAGGACGCCCACTCAGCACCTTTGCATGCAGGCTGCTGCACCATGACCCGGTCCCCAAAGGCATAGCTTTTTTTTTTAAAGGTTTTTAGTATAGCGCGTGTGTGCTCACCAGAGACAGAGAGAGGAAAGTGAGAAATCACACCCCCACCTGGGGGGATTGGCCTTGCTGCAATTCCTTCTCTGTTTTCCGCTCAGGATCTTTTTTTTTTTTTTTTTTTTTGAGAGGTTTTTGCTATAGGGCGCATGCGCTCACCAGACAGACAGAGACAGTGAGACAGAAAGCGAGAAGTCACCCCCCAGGGAGGATGGCCACGCCGCAATCCCTTCTCCTCCATTCTCCTCTCGAGATCTTGGGCATGCACGCACACGCACCCGGCGTGAGTTTTAAGCCACTAGGTCCGGGACGCGAACCGCGGTCGACTACGTGGGAGTCCAGCGACATAGCCATTACACTAACTGCTGGTCCCTCCGCTCAGGATCTTGAACACACACGCAAACGTGCCTGGCGTGATTTTCAAGGCACCGGGTTTGTGGTGGGCCATGTGGGATTCCAGGGCTTTAACTACCATGCCACCTGCTGGCCCCTGGAGGCACAGCTTTGATCATGGACCTTCTTGGTTCCTGCCTCTGTCCCCCATCCATGCTGCCCCTGGCGCCGTCCACCTGCCTGTGTCCTCTGTCCCTTGCTCATGTCCTGGATGTCCCTCAGCTTCTCCGTAGGAAAAGGAGTCATCACTATTAAAGCAACTTTAACTTTACTGTTTGCTTTATCTTAAGATATATTCATAGTGTGCAGACTTGGGCCCTGGGGTCTCCAGGGGCCACCTGGGATTTGGAGAAGTCGAGTGAAAACAATAGTTCAGCCCCCACCTGTCTCTTTACCAACCTAACAGCTCCTGGAGGGTTTGGGGGGATATCTGGGTCCCCCCTTGAAGTGAGGGGAAGGGCCCTGGGGCTTGGTGGGAGCCAGAGAGTATGACTCGGTGGGCCCTGTTGTCTCCCACAGGTGACCCATGGGCTGAGGGCATATGATGGCTTGTCCCTGCCTGAGGATGCAGAGACCGTCGAGGTGGGCCGGGGCAGCTGGACCTACTCCTACCTGTCGGACGACGAGGACCTGCTTGCTGACGACGCCTCTGGAGGTGAGCCCAGGGCCCTTGCCAGGAGTGCGGGGCACGAGGGGTGTTGTTCCTCTCTCTGCTCCTTGGAAAGGCCCTGTGAAGTCCGCCCAGGGTGGGGCCTGCAGACCCCAGTGTCCTCCTCTGACAACCTGTGCAGCCCTGGCCGGCCATGGCTCCTCTGCAGCTCAGGATGGTGGGACCAGCGGGGAAGGTGGTTGGCAGTACACAGTGCAGGACACTGACCATCTATCTGCTGCCCTCTGTGCTCACCTGGAGGCCCGGCTGGCCTGACCCCTCCCACCCCAGCCACAGGACAGGTCACTGAATCCCTCGAACTGGGGCCTTGGTTCATACTCTGATGGAGGCGTCCAAGCTGACTTCTACAGGCCAGCCCTCCCTGGGCGTGGGGGAGGAGAGCCGCTGCACCCTGCGTGCCAGGTCCAGAGGAACGCCTGGACCTGCAGGCGCTCCACAAACATGTCATTGCTGAGTTAGTCTCTTTTGCTTGCAGATGACCAGGGCAGTGGGGACCTGGGCAGCGGGGAATTCCATATGGGTAAGTTGCTCCGGTACCCTACAGTTCCCATTGTGCCCACCTTGGGGCCCCAGAGCACTGCCCTGCCATGCCCCAGCCACGGAGGCCCATCTCCTGGGCTCAGAGCCTGAGGGCTCCTTGGCCTGCCCAGGGTGTGCGCTGTAAGGAGAAGCAGGCATGGTCCCCTACTGCTGAGTGACGGATGTGCGGGCTGGTTGGCAGGTCCTGCACACTGGGGGTGGCTGGCTCTGGTGCTTACCACAGGGGACGAGGCCTGGGCAGTGGGCAGGAAAGGCCCAGTTGAAAGCTAGTCAGTCACTCAGCCATTGCAGCGCGCCTCACCCCAGGTGGCTCAGCTGTGGGGCCTTCCCCAGAGCCCTTCTTGGGGCCAGCTCTGCAGAGCTGGGGACCTCAGGTAGGGCCTGTGTGGAACAGACAGGCCAAGAGAAACAGCAGTGGTGGAATAAGCCTCACCCGCTCTGGGTGGATCACCTACTGAGAAGCCAGGGCTTCCTGGCTTGGGGGAGGGGGGTTGGGCTTTGTGGAGAGACAGGAGTCAGGCCTCCCTCACCCGCCCATCCTGGGGTTCTGGGGAGAGGAGGAACTAGCCTGTATCAGGAACCAGCAGCTACCTGTGGTTCCTGCTGCCTGCTCAGGAAGCCAGTGCCCGGACGGAGTCAGGGTGATCAGGGCTGAAGTTAAGACAGGGGCTCACACTGGCCCTGGCAGCCGTGTTGTGTCCAGCACTGTCCACGCTGGCGGGTCAGCCCTGGGCATGTCTGACCTGGGCCTCCCCAGGGGTAGGATATTAAGGGCCTCCAGATGCCCTCCAGCATGCTGGCTGGGCCTTGGCAGATGAAGGTTGGTTCTTGGGAGGCCTGTCCTGACCGAGAGCTCCCAGCACCTGGGGCTTAGACCCTGCCTGAAGCTTTGCCACCTGTAGGCTTTGCAGGGGTGCGGGATGCCTGGGAGCTGGGCGGGGGCCACATCCCAGAATGGCCCAGACTCACACGTCCCTGGGAGCTGTCTCCTGCCAAGCCAGACCTGCCTGCTGAGGCCCTCCTGCTCTGTGGTGGCCTCCATGGTTCCTCGTGGGGCTGGCCTGAGCAGCTCTGCCCTCCCTGACAGTCCTTACCCGCCTGCCCTCCTTGAGAAGCAGCTGTGAGGGCAGCAGAGGCCATGGGCATTGGGCTAGGGAATAGGGCACGGCGGCCTGGAAGCCCGAGACCAGGGCCGGTGCCTTTCCTTGCGAGGGGGGAGAGACGGGGCCTTAGACCTCCAGCCCCGAACCCTGGGCTGGGCTGCACCTCAGACCAGGAGGTGGCAGGTGTGGCACCTGGTTCCCAGAGCTTCGGTCCCCACCTCAGCCTCCCTCAGGGCAGCACCTCCCTGTGCTGGAAGCAGGGGCCATCCTGATGGTGAGGAGCCATGCCCGGGCTGTACCCTCGCCTGGCCCCGGACCCCAGAATCTCACCCCCACTGCGGCTCTCCTGCTCTGCCCCTCCCTCCCTTCCAGGGACCCCTGCCCTCTCTGGTTTGTTTCCATCTTCTGACTCATCCCTGTGTCTTTCCCCCTCCTGCCCGTGCTGCTTGGACACCTGTCTCACCCCTCTCCCCCGGCCCCGGCTGTCTCTTCCCTGCTCTCTATCTCTGTCTCCCCTCTCCTTGGCTCACTGTCGGCCTTCCCTCTCCCTCTCCCCCTCTGCCTTTGTCTCCACCTTTGTCTCGCCTTTTCTTTCTCCTCCTCACCCCCACTGCGGCTCTCCTGCTCTGCCCCTCCCTCCCTTCCAGGGACCCCTGCCCTCTCTGGTTTGTTTCCATCTTCTGACTCATCCCTGTGTCTTTCCCCCTCCTGCCCGTGCTGCTTGGACACCTGTCTCACCCCTCTCCCCCGGCCCCGGCTGTCTCTTCCCTGCTCTCTATCTCTGTCTCCCCTCTCCTTGGCTCATTGTCGGCCTTCCCTCTCCCTCTCCCCCGGCCCCGGCTGTCTCTTCCCTGCTCTCTATCTCTGTCTCCCCTCTCCTTGGCTCACTGTCGGCCTTCCCTCTCCCTCTCCCCCTCTGCCTTTGTCTCCACCTTTGTCTCGCCTTTTCTTTCTCCTCCTCCTTCCACTTTCTCTTTACATCTCTGTCTCTGTGTGTGTCTCTGTCATTCTCTCCCTCTCTCTTGACGTCTTCTGCCTCTCTCTGGTCCTCTCCCTTGCCATTGCTATCTCTGTCCCTCCTCGCCTCCCTCTCTGTCTCCCCTCTGCAGGCTCGGGGTCGCCCCTGGGCCGCCCGCCCATGGCTGGCATGATGGTCCTGGAGCCTGATGAGGAGTTCCCTCTCAGTAAGTGACCAGGCCTGGGCCGGGGGAGCACTGTCCCCCCTCTGCCCCTCTGCCTCCCTCTCTGTCTGTCTCCCTGTTCTCTCCCTCCCCAATGAGAACTATGCTGTGAACCATACCGGGGGGCATGGCAGTCCAGGGCCAGGACACAGCCAGGCTTCCTATGGACTCAAGGTTCTAGACACAAGGCCTTCCCCACGGGTTTTCCTTGTGGGGTGCGGGGGTTGGGGGACAGGGGGTGAATGCAACAGCCCCATGGGGAGCAAGGCCCTGGAGTCTGGGGGCAGTTGTGCCCACACAAGGGACCCACACAGACCCAGTGCTCGCCATGTGGGAGGGGGAGTTCTGCTGAGCCAGGAGGTGGTGGGGTGGCCTGCTCCTGGACTGGGATGGGGGGGCTGAGGGTATATCCCCCACCATGCAGGGTAGCCCTGGGCCTCCCATCCCTCCAGCTCTGGCTCCATGAGCTCTTCAGGTAGGACTGGAAGAGACCTGGAGGCAGAGGGCTGGCCAGCCAGGCCCCAGTCACCTCCGCAGCCTCCCTGTTCTTGCTGCCCGGCACCAGCAGCTCTGGGAGAGAGCTGGTTCCTGACACACAGCCTCACCTTCTGCTCCAGCCCTCGGGCACAGCCACAGGGAGGCAGCCATGGGTGCTTAGAGGACAGAGGGTGCTTGCCCTGACCTGCCCCTGGTCTGGGAGAAGAAACGGGTGGGGTGGGCTGGAGGGTCTGTGCCCTGCCCAGGCCCGAGTAGAAAGGGGCTCTGTGGGGCTCAGCCCCTCCCTGGGAGCAGACGCATTCCTGGGCAGAGGCCTGGCCTCCTCGGCCGTTCTGTACTGTGGGGCTGAGGCCAGGGGCCAGAGTGGGGGACTCTCAATGGGCCTCTGTGCCACTCACAAGGGGCCTCTGTGGCCAAGCCCACGGCCCCCACACTTGGCTACCAAGCCTCGCCCAGCCGGTACCCAGGAGCGCTGTTTCAGAGTGGGCCATGGCCTTCAGAAGCAGCCCCTGGGCGTAGGAGTCTACCCCAGCACCCGCTCACCCCCAGCCTGAGGGAGGGTGCCCTGGTTCGGAAGGCTGTGATCTGCGGGCCAGGCGGTCTCACAGCCAGTGCCACTCCCTGCTTGCCACCTCCACGCTGCATCTGTCACCTGGCTGGGCTTGCCCCTGCCCTTGGCACTGGCTGGTGCTGCTGCCCAGGGTGCCCTTCTCGCAGACACCGCCCCGGGACTCACCGCCTTCCACTTCCCCTTCCCTGGCCTCCCTCAGAGCAGCCGCCTGCCCCACCAGCAGGCCCTCTCCCCTGCCTCCCCCAGAGTCTGCACTTACCTCACTCACCTGTTCGATTCCCTTTTCCCCCCCACAACAGAGAGTGATGTCCACAGAGGTCTCCCTGTGTCCCCTGCCCCCAGAACACCAGCTGCCATAGGGCCTGCCTTCTGTGTGCACCTGGGAGGGGGGGTGCCCTTCCCAGACAGGAAGGAGTCCACAGGTCCACGTGCAGCCAGCCCGCAGCCCGGCTACCCACCGGGCACTGTGAGAAACACCACTCCTCCCACCACAGCCTCGGAGTGGGCAGCGCTCCTGTCGCCTCTGCTTTACAGATAAGGAAGCTGAGCTCAGACAGGGAAGAACGGGCCTGAGGTCATAGGGCTGGGAGAGCAACGGTGCCTCCGCTGCACCTGCCCCACGCCGGGCTGTGTTCTCCGCCCTTCACATGTACTTAAACTCAGTGGTAACTCATGTGAGCTGGAGTTTATCGTTTACACCGTAATTCATGAACATGATGACATTTAATGCATGAAAAAGTCTGGTAGGTAACAGGTGCCTCACGCAGTGGTTGTGTATGTGTGCCTTGGTGTGTGTCGGTGTGTGTGTACACACACCAGTGCGTACATACCATCGGTAAGTGGCATGGGCTTTAGCCGCTGTTTGGTAACTGCCACATGCCAGGCTCTGATACACGCTGCGTGTCTCACTTACCACTCACTCGCAACACACAAATGCATGACTTGTGCAGTTTAATGAGTGTAAACTCACTTGTATGTAGCAGGTGCTTAAGAAGCAGTAGGAGTGTGTGCGCACGCCACCCTCGTCTGAGGCGCATTTATTCAGCCCGCTCACAGGCCCCTCCTGTGCCAGGCACGATGCAAGGACTAGGTCCTGGGGTGATGATTTCCAGGGTCCCCCTCATCAAGCCTGAAGTCCAGGCTGGAGGGCAAATGACGGTAACAGTTTCTCATTGTCAGGCTCTTACTCTGTGCTGGGCCTTGCCTGCATTCAGGGAGCTAGTGCCTGACGAGGTACCATTTACGCCCCGCAGCCACGGGGCGGTAACTGCAAGTCATATCCTCGTCTCACTGAGGACTGGAAAGCCCCGGAGTGGGGCGGCGCCTGAACGACTGGCCGCAGAACCTTGGCTGTTACTGCAGTGCTCTGTGGTCCTCGTGGGACCCGGCAGGATCTAGGCGATGCAGGGTGAAAAGTGGTCTGCTCGAGGAAGCAGAGGTGCGGGGGGGCCCAGAGGAGGAAGCACTAACCTAGCCAGGGCAGTCAGGCAGCCTTCCTGGAGGAAGTGGTGGCAGCGATGGCTCCTGAGGGATGAACTGGCCGGGGACGGTGGAGAAGCACACCCTGTCCCAGGCGGGTAACCCTTGTACTGCCTCTGGAGGCCACCCTTCTTGTCCAGCCTTCTGAGCAACCACACCATCACTTGGTCTCTGGAGGACCATTTGCCCTGTTGCTTCAAGCTCTTCAAGTCCACGCCTTGGCTTCGACCCCTGGGCAGGCCTGCCAGGGCTACTTGGCACATGTTCCTGGAGGCAGTGCTGGTCATAGCTGTGGGCCCATAGGAGCCAACCTGTGCAGGCCACCCAGGGCCATCCATCACTGGTCCAGCAGCCCGAGGCCACTTCGTGTTGGGCAGGACCCCTCATGATGACACCCCCACCCCTCCTGCCTTTCCACAGTATATTTCCGGGCCCTGGTAAATTTCACTCACTCCATCGAGTACAGCCCCCGGCTGGAGGACGCAGGCTCCAAGGAGTTCCGAGAGGTGTCCGAGGCTGTGGTAGACCTGGTGAGGTTAAGGGTTTGGGGAGCGCCAAGGGGTGGCAGGGCCGGTCTGGGGGCGGGATGAGGATGTCTGGGACTGATGGTGCTGTTCCCGCCCCAGCTGGAGTCGGAGTACTTGAAGATTCCTGGAGACCAGGTTGTCAGCGTGGTGTTTATCAAGTGAGGAGAGTGCCCCGGGGGCTGGCGAGGGCCTAGGGTAACCTGGAGGGGCTGATGGGACGGGAAGGAAGCTCGGGTACAAGGGGGAAGGCAGGAAAGGCCTAATGGGTGCACCGCCGTGGGTGACGAGTCAGGACTGGTGGGATCCTTGGGGCCTGAATTCTGAGTGTAGGCTGTTGAACAGGCCTGAGCACCGGGCAGGGGCCTGGTGGAGGAGCTGAGCACAGGCCTCATTCTCCCCCACTCCCCCATCCCTCCCTAGAGAGCAAGACGGCTGGGTCTTTGTGGAGCTGGACGTGGGCTCAGAAGGGAACTCCAACGGCACTCAGATTCAGAGTGTGCTGCACGCAGTCGTCTCCAGGGGCGCCATCGGCCCCTACACGGCCTCTCTGCAGGGGTTCCAGTTCCGACGCCTGGGCGCAGGTGAGCCTGTCCCGGGGCCGGGGGTTCCCTCCTCCCACTTCTCATTCTTGTGGGGTCCCCCCAGTGTCTCCACCATGGGCTGTCCTAGCTGGGACTTGCATACCAAGGACAGGGACTCACCACGCCCAAAGTCTGCCCCATCATTTCTGCACTTGTGGCGTGCGTGGAGCGCCGTTTCCGCTCACGTAGCGTCGGGCCCAATTTCTGCTGCCCCACCACAGACCTTTGCACACTGGGGATGGTGTTAACTCCCTCCTTGGGGTCCTCCAAGTCCAGAGCACTCTGCCTTTCATAGCAGCCAACGGGGGCCAGTTAGGGCTGTGGTGCCCAAGGTGCTGGATCCCACACGGCCAACTGCAGTTTGAGTCCTGGAATTGGCGTCTTGGGAAACATGCCAGACACGTGTGTGCATGCGTGCCCAAAATCCCGAGAAGAGAATAGAGAAGGGATCGAGGTCTGGCCACCCCCCTGGGGGGGAGGATGCTCTCCCGCTTTTCCTCTCTGTCTCTCTCCAGCACACATGCCCTAGAGCAAATGAGCAACCGTGGCCAACCGGTGTTGGCGAGCACTGACTGTCAGGTTGCTGAGGCCCTTATACCCAGCCCCTGTTCAGTCTCCACAGTTCCTGTGAGGTGCATGTCACTCCTCCTGGTTTGTTTCGTTTTAAGTTTACTTATTTCTTCCATGAGTAGGAGAGACAGAAATAGACAGTTACCCCAGCAGGGGCTTTGTACCAGGCCCCTGCCCCAGCCTCAGCTGCTCGGAGCATGTTCAGGGAGCTTTCTAGGTGCCAGCCGGGCACTTTCCCATGGGTCAGCGTCTCTACTGCGCCACCACTGCAGTGTCGCTGCCCGCCGCCGGCCCCTGATTCCTTCTGGATTGGAAAAGTGGGAACTGAGGCCCAGAAAAGAAGTGCGGCTTGTCTCCACTCTGGGCGGGCGTAGGAACTCCGGAATGTAACTCAAACCCTGCGTCTGCGCCAGTCTTACCAGAGCCTAGGATGAGATGAGATGAGAAAAAGATAAGAAACAGACTCAGGAAAAAATAGGAAACTGACCCAAAACAAACAGCCGCACAGCTGTTTGACACAGAAGCCTGGCTCGTGCCCTGGGTCACTGTGCTCTGCCAGCCCACCCCTGGGAGGGCTCTGGTTTCTCGGCGAGACCTTCCTGAGCGTGTGCGTGCCCTGGTGCGGCGCTGGCCGGGACTGGTGGAGCACGGAATCGGACCTGGTGGGGGTGCCCGTCTGTCTCTTTCTCCATCCCTCTGTCATGGAAGCATTAAGTAAATGAACTAGAATTCTGTATAAATGTATTTCTGAGGGTTCAGCCTTCTCCCGCTTTTCAGTGAGCCCTCTGGACCAGGGAGGGTGAGATGGGCCTGGCTCAGCTGTCACTCCCAGGGCCAGGCCAGACAGCCGCTGATCACCCCTTCCGCTCCAGCACAGACCCCCCCACCTCC